GATAGGCCCACTTAAGAGTAACTCTGGTCAGATTACTGACAGTGATAAGATGTGTGAAATTCTAAATACCTACTTCCTCTCAGTTTTCACCCAGGAAAATACTAGCGATATTCCTGAAATAATAGATTATGTAGAACAGGATGATAATAAACTATGTACGATTGAGGTAACTAGTGACATAGTCCTCAGACAAATAGAGAAACTAAAACCTAACAAATCCCCAGGCCCTGATGAACTGTTTGCAAGGGTGTTAAAGGAATGTAAAGAGGAACTTAGCATACCTTTGGCTAATCTTTTTAACATAATCTTTTTAACATATCACTACAAACTGGCATAGTGCCTGATAAGTGGAAAATGGCAAATGTAATACCTATTTACAAGGCAGGTGACAGGTCCTTGGCTTCGAACTATAGACCAATAAGCCTTACCTCCATAGTGGGAAAATTTATGGAATCAATAATTGCCGAAGCAATTCGTAGCCATCTTGACAGGCACAGATTGATTAATGAATCTCAACACGGTTTTACAAAGGGGCGTTCCTGTCTTACAAATTTACTAACTTTTTTCACTAAGGTGTTTGAGGAGGTAGATCATGGTAATGAATATGATATTGTGTATATGGACTTCAGTAAGGCTTTCGATAGAGTTCCACACCAGAAGCTACTGAGGAAACTTAAGGCACACGGAATAGGAGGAGAAATTTTTTCCTGGGTAGAGGCATGGTTGACAAATAGACAGCAGAGAGTTTGCATAAATGGGGAGAAATCAGAATGGGGGCACGTCACAAGCGGTGTTCCTCAGGGGTCAGTGTTGGGCCCTTTGTTGTTCACAATTTACATAAACGACATAGATGAGGGAATAAATAGCGACATAAGCAAATTTGCTGATGACACCAAAATAGGCCGTCCAATTCATTCTAATGAGGACACTAGAGCACTCCCGGATGATTTGAATAGACTGATGCAATGGTCGGAGAAGTGGCAGATGCAGTTTAATATTGACAAATGCAAAGTTCTAAATGTTGGACAGTTAAATAACCATGCCCCATATAAACTAAATAATGTATATCTTAATACTACTGATTGCAAAAAGGATTTAGGAGTTCTGGTTAGCAGTAATCTAAAACCAAGACAACAGTGCATTAGTGTTCGCAATAAAGCTAACAGAATTCTTGGCTTCATATCTAGAAATATAAAATATAGAAGTCCTCAGGTTGTTCTTCAACTCTATATATTTTTGGTTAGGCCTCATTTAGACTATGCTGCTCAGTTCTGGTCACCCTATTACAGAATGGATATAAATGCTCTGGGAAACGTACAGAGGAGGATGACAAAGATGATCCCATGTATCAGAAATCTTCCCTATGAGGACAGACCGAGGGCCCTGAATCTGCACTCTCTAGAAAGGCATAGAATTAGGGGGGATATGATCGAGGTGTATAAATGGAAAACAGGAATAAATAAAGGGGATGTAAATAGCATGCTGAAAATTTCTAGCCAAGACAGGACTCGCAGCAATGGTTTCAAGTTGGAAAAATTGAGATTCAAGAAGGATATAGAAAAGCACTGGTTTGGTAATAAGAGTCGTGGATTATTGGAACAAACTCCCGAGTACAGTTATTCAGGCTAAAATGTTGTGTAGTTTTAAAAATAGGTTAGATAAATACATGAGTGGGTGTGGGTGGGTGTGAGTTGGACCTGACTAGCTTGTGCTGTTGGGTCTGGTGCAGTGCTCCATCCTTGAGTGGAGGTAACCAGACTCGGTGAGTCACTGGGAATCTGGGGGGTGGGTCATTGGTCTAATCCAGGGGGGGGGGGACATGGACCTGCTCCGCATGGGTCAGTAGGCCTGTTGCAGTGTTCCTTCTTTCTTATGTTCTTATATATATACTCTAGAATGAATAAAATATGTCATTACGTATGTGATTAGTGGTGGCTGCGGCAGGTGCCATTCTCTCTCCTGCTGTGGTTACATATCTTCCCAAAACAGAGTGTTTATGAGGCTAACTGCACTACATCACAGTTTCACAAGGAAGACACTGAAACAATGTATGTAATTAACCCTTCCAGGGTCGACAGGCCCTCTCAGAGAATTGTTCTCTGGGTCGCCCAAATTTCAAAAAAAAAAAAAAATTATTTTTCTTATAAAAAGACAGAGAATCTTTTCCCGATCATAATGATACCAAAATTTGATGGAAAACTTATGGCATTATGCTCTCGTGAAGTTAGCGGTCTCGACGATGTTTACGCATCGGCGATTTTGCCCACTTTGATCCTTATTTTCGGCCAATTCCACTGTACTAGTCAACAAAAATCATGAATATTTCACTAGAACTAAATTTTTTTCTATCGAATGAGTGCAAGAAACCACCCATTTACCGATTTCAACTATCCAATACAGTGGTCAGAATTTAGCAATTTTGCCAATTTCACCCAAATTTCAAAATATGCCAATTTCCAAATAGGGTCCAGAATAAACAAGAAAGACATTCCTGGCACTAAAATGACATTTCCTCTGTTCATTAGTCATGTCCCAACGCCCCTCTTACATTCTTTTGCTTTCCACTTTGAATTTTTATTCTCACAAAAAAATAGAAGATTTACTATTTTTTACACTACTGTATTAGTGTAAAAAATAGTATAAATAATATCAGCGCACTTGTGAAAGAATATTAGACTCACCAGTTGACGTGTATTGGACGCTTAGCATGATTTGTTTACTTTTGAACTTTGGTAAAAATTGAACATTTCTGCTACTTTGAGCTCAATTTCAAGGTACTTTTCATTGTAAAATCAGTCAAAATCATCTCAATTTCAGTAATGTCTTCCATTCTATAGAATGAGACCAGGAAAACTAGAATACAACAATAAATACCATATGAAAATACAGTGCAAAGTCGCTGTTTTAATCCAAAAACACGGTCAAAGTTTTTTTTTTCTCATTATGCACTGTGTGCTGCAGGATTTTTTTTATACTGTGCACACTGACCACATAGACCCATTCTTTCATACGTAGGCCTACCAGCTTTCTCTGACTAGATTTGAGGGCGCTAGAATTTAGACATACTAGTACGTCAAAAACCCTGGTGCGTAAGCCGTACTAGTACGGCTGAAACCCTGAAAGGGTTAATAAATAAGAAATACAATGTAGTGCATAAAACATAACAGAGAATGTAAAGAAATAAAGTGGTTATTGTATGTATACTATAGTACACACTTACCTTGGAGAAGATGCTGGAAGAGGTTTAGGGTGGTGATAAATAGCGCAGGGTGGCGTATGATGTCAGTGGCCTATAAACCTCTAACAACACTGGAGGAGTTAATTTGTGTCATCCTTTTTCTATTCCTTAATCGCTTAACTTACTTGCTACTCTCTAAATGCTACACTTTATCGCTGGCTGGTGCTATAGCCTTTATCAACTCCGGCTGCTCAAATATCGTATATATCGTAGAATCACTGAAGAATTTTATTGTTTCTCTCATCTTCTTTATCAAAGGGCTGGCACTCTGAACTTTCTTTAGCCCCATGGTGGCTTATTTAGTAGTCGCAAGCACAAAAAACAAAGCATTATTATGAAATGCTTTGGATGAATGCACGGAGTAATGTTTACTGAACTAGTAACAAAGGCAGATTAAGTCACAAACATATGAGTGGACATGTCTGATACATACGATTTCCAGGTGGAGATATGAAATCTGGACCAAAATTTCACCCAAAAGTGTTCTAAATCCAAATTGTACTATGTTCGGACTGTATGAAACCGGAGTTCCACTGTATGCAGCTGTTAGGAGACAGATGGGCTAGTTAGAGTATAGGTAGTGAGGAGCTCAAAGAGGTAGACTTAAGAATGTAGTGTTAGTGTGTGCAAGAAAAATCTGTGGATATGGGAGGGTGGGTGTGGGAGGGAACAGGGGAGATTGATGGAATGACTAGTTATAGAGAGTGGTAATGGAGGAAAAGTTAGCATACAAGAGGTTTTTACAAAACAGAAGTGATTTTAGGAAGGTGAAGTATATATAGAGTTAAAGAGTGGTTTAGAGAATGGTGAGGGAGTATTAAAGGGGAGCAAATGAGAGAGTGGGTGAGGTTTTGTCAACAAATTTTCCTGAGAATAAGAAAAAGTTTTGGAATAAGATCAATGTGTGCAGACTCTTCTGCACATTCCCCAGTCAAGATCTGATCATCTTTCACAGGGCTGTGTACAATTCAGACTACTTTTTCAGTTTTACCTCAGAGCATTCAGGATCGGCAGCAGCATCAATGATCCAGGTTAGAGAATGACACGCTATTTTTAATCATACCACAGTTGAGTTCAAGGTCAACTTCTTTCCATGGCAGCTGCATTTGAAAAACTGTTCTCACATCAATGCAAAGTGGCTGTCTGCAGTCTACTCTTCAGCACCTGGACATTGCTCTCCTTTCAGAAAGCCCTACCCTCAATGCAGCCACAGTGACTTCTTTAATAAAACTGACTTATTACAATGACTGACTTTCATTGTTAGCTCATAAGGTCATTTATCAAATTGCTTCCCTTGCTGATAGTGCTCTCTAGCTGATAGTGCTTTATGACCCATATGAATCTGGCCCATTTTGTGAATATAATAATGATATACCCCGAGTAAAATGATATCCAAACACCAGACGAGCCTGGCCCATGGCTGGGCTCTGGAAGTAGAAACTCTCAGAACTCATCAAAAGTATATCAAAGGTAAAGGTATACCCAAACCTGTCAGCATTATCCCTGAACAGTCACCTTGATGGGGAACCTTTGGATCACTATCTTAGTGGGAAACAACCAGTGTGTTAAAAAGAAAAGCTTCAAGTCAGTGTGAAGCACTTTCAAAATATAACCAGAAAACAGCTACAAAATAATGGATGGTCGAAACTTAAGGTATCCCATCCCATAGTAACAAATAATACTACTATATATCAAATAAGCTTTAATTAATACATCATCTGTGAAATCTTTTTCTACAAAGTACTTTTGTCATTCAACAAACCTGAACTTAGGCGAAGAGGTACATATATGTTAGAAACTGGATTTCCATGTATGCGAGGCTTGGTTAAAATTTGCTTAAGCACTTGAAGGCGACTCAATAGCACGTGTGACCTCATCTGGAACCAATGTGAATAATGACTCATTTAAAATACAGTATTCCTTATTTTATTCTGAGTGTAAATATTTTTTACTGAATAACACAATAGGTAATAACATTAAGTTTCAATCATTTTTCCATTACCTCTGCTAAAGACGTGTTGGCCACTTGTGCTATTTCATAACCACTCTTCTCACTCACTGCGCTTTCTTGGGTTCCCTTTTCTGCAATAATTGTCTGATGTTTTTCTCTCAAGAAGTCTGATTGGGTGTTCCTTTCATACCTGTTTAATTAGAAATAAATAATACTTATGTTCTACCCACAGGATGGGTATGGGGTGCATAATAAAGATATTACACTAACATACATTGTATGTTAGTAGTCATCCTTCCTTTCTTTTATTTATTCAAAGCAATACTTCTGCATTATATAAAAAACATATTACTGAACATTAAAGGATACATTATGCATGCATTTAAAGATACATTAGGCATACAGTATTTCATTCTACAGGATATACATTCTGTACTACACATTACCATATGACATGAATACTTTTCCTAGGTAGTAGGTTGGCATACAGCAACCGCCCAGGGAGGTACTACTGTCCTGCCAAGTAAGTGTAAAACGAAAGCCTGTAATTGTTTTACATGATGGTAGGATTGCTGGTGTCCTTTTTCTGTCTCATGAACGTGCAAGATTTCAGGTATGTCTTGCTACTTCTACTTACACTTAGGTCACACTACACGTACATGTACAAGCGTATATATACACACCCCTCTGGATTTTCTTCTATTTTCTTTCTAGTCCTTGTTCTTGTTTATTTCCTCTTATCTCCATGGGAAGTGGAACAGAATTCTTCCTCTGTAAGCCATGCGTGTTGTAAGAGGCAACTAAAATGCCAGGAACAAGGGCCTAGTAACCCCTTCTCCCGTATAAATTACTAAATTTAAAAAGAGAAACTTTCATTTTTCTTTTTGGGCCACCCTGCCTTGGTGGGATGCGGCTGGTTTGTTGAAAAAAAAAATGAATACTTTTAACAAAACTGAGAAATTACATAGACTTGTTTTCACATAAATTACATGTAATTTCTCAGTTTTGTTCAAAATATTCATACCATTTAGTAGCACATGTCGGCCATCACTAATCCAGCATCAGTGGGACCTGCAGTGTGCTAGATTAGTGAGTTTGCCGGATTACAGATTGGTTAGGTTAGAATACACTTAATTAACCTATCTACAGAGACCCTTTCTGTTATATATTCCTCATTTTCATCACTGCTCTCTCCTCCACTGGCTTGCTGCTGTGGATTTACAACCATCTGCACAATTTCTGAGTCGGTATAATGATTTGAGTCAGCATAATGATGAAATTTGAAATTATGCTAGTCGAAATTAGTGCCGGATTACTGAAGGAACCGGAAAACTGACTGCTGGATTAGTGTTGGCCGACCTGTATATAATAAACAGATATACCCTGAAGAATTAAATACTGTATGCCTAAATGAGCGTGCTAATTTCAACATTAACTGCTTAATTATAACACTGATGACAGAGGTACAGATAAGCATGCACAGGGCTCCTGACCAGCAAAATGTGAACAGTCATGAAGGTCTCTTCACAAAATTCAATTTTAATAACAAAAACATACAATGGGATCAAGTCAACCATGTCCTAAATGAAACAAGCTGGGAAGATATCCTAAACAATACAGATCCAAACATTTGCCTAGAAAAAATGAACTCTGTGGTACTTGAGATCTGCTCAAGACACATTCCATTAAGAAAAAGAATGAGAAGATGTAAACTAGAAAGAGAGAGACGCTCCCTATACAAAGGCGAAGAGTCACAAAGCTGCTGAGAGGGGCCAATATATTTGAAATACGATGGGAAGCACTGGTCAATGAAACAGCAAATATCAAACTCAAGCTGAAGGAATCTTACAGGAGACAAGAATCACAGGAAGACTAAAAGCCATAAAGGAAAATGAAAAAAAAAAAAATTCTTCTTCTCTTATGCCAAATCTAAGGGAAAAACAACATCCAGTACTGGGCCCCTGCTTATGCGGGATGGGACATACACAGATGACAGCCAAGAAATGAGCGAGTTATTAAAGTCCCAATATGACTCAGTGTTCAGCGAGCTGCTGCCCAGACTAAGCGTCGACAATCCAAATGAATTCTTTATGAACGAAACCCAAAACTTGGGACATCTCAAAAATCTCGGATAATATCCTAACTCCACAAGACTTTGACATGCCCATGCACTCTGCCCCAGGCCCAGACTCATGGAACTCCGTGTTCATCAACAAAAAGCCCCTATCGTGTGCCTTCAGCATTCTATGGAGAGGGAGCATGGACACAGGGGTCATCCCACACACACTAAAAACAACAGACATAGCCCCACTCCACAAACGTGGCAGAAAAGCAATTGAAAAGAACTACAGACCAATAGCACTAACATCTCATATCATAAAAATCTTTGAGAGGGTCCTAAGAAGCAAGATTGCCAACCACCTAGATACCCATCAATTACACAACCCAGGGCAACACGGGTTTAGAGAAGGTCACTCCTGCCTGTCCCAAATACTGGATCACTATGACAAAGTCCTGAATGCTGTCGAGGATAAACAAATACAGATGTAGTATACACAGACTTTGCAAAAGCTTTCGACAAGTGTGACCATATTGTAATAGCACACAAAATGTGTGATAAAGGAATAATAGGAAAAGTTGGTAGATGAATCTATAACTTCCTGACAAATAGAACACAAAGAGTAATAGTAAACAGAGTAAAGTCTCAGGCAGCCACAGTAAAAAGCTCAGTGCCACAAGCCACAGTACTCGCTCCCATTCTATTCCTCATCTTCATTTCGGACACAGACAGAGATGTCTTCCTTTGCAGATGACACCCGGATTGCCATGGCAGCGTCCTCCATCGAAGACACTGCAAGACTCCAAGTGGACATCAACCAAATCTTCAAATGGGCCACTCAAAACAATATGAAGTTCAATGAGGAGAAATTTCAACTATTCAGATATGGAAAACTTGAGGAAATAAAAAAATGTATCAGGGTATACAAAAAATTCTAACCATACAATAGAGCAATAAAGAAATGTGAAGGACCTGGGAGTGATAATGTCAGAGGATCTCGTCTTCAAAGAACACAATAATGTATTTACCTCATCTGCTAGGAAAATGAAAGGATGGATAATGAGAACCTTCCAAACTAGGGATGCCAAGCCCATGATGATCCTCTTTAAATCGTTTGTTCTCTCTAGGCTGGAATACTGCTGTACACTACCGGCCCCTTTCAAGGCTGGAGACATTGCAGACCTGGAGAACGTACAAAGAACTTTCACGGCACACATATATACAATAAGGCACCTAAATTACTGGGAACTGTTGAAGGTCCTTGGTCTGTATTCCCTGGAACTCAGGCGAGAGAAATACATGATATACACTTGGAAGGTCCTGGAGGGATTGGTACCAAACCTGCTCATGAAAATCACTCCCTGTGAAAGCAAAAGACTCGACAGGAGATGCAACATTCCCCCAATGAAAAGCAGGGGTGCCACGAGTACACTGAGAGGCAACACTGTAAGTGTCCAGGGCCCAAGATTATTCAACTGCCTTCCAGCATACATAAGGGGATTACCAATAGACCCCTGGCTGTCTTCAAGAAGCCACTGGACAGGCACCTAAAGTCAGTACCTGACCAACCGGGCTGTGGTTCGTACATCAGTTTGTGCGCAACCAGCAGTAACAGCCTGGTTGATCAGACCCTGATCCACCATGAGGCCTGGTCTCAGACCGAGCCACAGGGGCATTGACCCCCGAAAACCTCTCCAGGAAAACTTCAGGCAAACGCTTATCAACAAAAGTTTCTAAGATGGTCAGGATACTCTCCAAAATTCACTAGTATGTTTCTCAACCCAAACTCCTAACATTTTACCTTTCCTTCATCAGCCTATGCCTCACATATGGAATCTGCCTAATTTAAGCTCAACACCTCAAACCAATGATAACCCAAAAAAAGGCAGCTCTCCAAATAATCACAAACTCTGCCAGTAGGAAACACACTATGCCCTTGTTTACATCTCTAAACCTACTAAATATGAATGCAATTCATACATACTACTGTTTAATCCACATGTTCAAAACAATACACTGTGACAATCACAGTGACCTCAGGCAATTTCTATAGAATTGTTACAGACATAAGCATCACAGCAGAAACAAATACAAATGTACCTATTTCAAATCATAGGAACATAAAAGGAAGTAGCACTGCAGCAGACCTACTGGCCCATGCTAGGCAGGTCCAAGTAATCTACTGGCCTAAGCCAGTCAGTTCCAACTCTCACCCACCCACACCCACTCATGTATTTGTCTAACTTATTTTTAAAACTATACAACATTTTAAATTAAATGATGCTGCTCAGGAGTTTGTTCCACTCATATACAACTCTTTTACCTAACCAGTGCTTTCCTATATCCTTTCTAAATATATTTTCCAACTTGAAACCACTGCTGCATGTCCTGTCTTGGTTAGATACTTTTAGCATGCTATTTACATCCCCTTTATTTATTCCTGTTTTCCATATATACACCTCATCACATCCTCCTAATTCTAAGCCTTTCTTGAAAGCAAATTCAGGGCCCTCAGTCTATCCTCATAGGAAAGATTTCTGATACATGGGATCAACTTAGTCCTCTTTCTTTAAATGCTTTCCAGCACATTTATATCCATTCTGTAATAAAATGACCAGAACTATGCAGCATAATCCAGATGAGGCCTAACCAACGATATATAGAGTTGAAAAATAACCTGAGGACTCCTGTTAGTAATACTTATTGATATAAAGCCAAGAATTCTCTTTGCTTTATTGGAAACACAAATGCACTGCTGTCTTGGTTTTAGATTACTGCTAACCAGAACTCCTAAATCATTTTTGCAATCGGTGATATTAAATCTAAATTATTTAGCTTGTAAGTGTCATGGTTATTTTCCTTTCCAATGCATAGAACTTGCCATTTTTTATGTTAAACTGCATCTGCCACTTCTCCAACCACTGCATCAGTGTATTCAGATCTTCCTGCAGTGCTCTAGTGTCCTTGTCAGAATTAGTTTGACAGCATCTTTTGGTGTCATCAGCAAACTTGTTTATGTCTCTATTTATTCCCTCATCTATGTTGTTCATATAAATTGCGAACAACAAAGGGTCCAACACTGACCCCTGTGGAACACTGTTTGTGATGCATCCCATCTCTGATTTCTACCCGTTTATGCAAACTCTCTGCTGCCTATCTGTCAACCACACCTCTATCCCCCCAAAAATTTCTCCTATTCCATGAGCCTCTAATTTCCTCAATAACCTCCATGTGGAACTCTATCAAGAGCTTTACTTAAGACTATATTCACAATATCATATTCATTACCATGATCTACCTTCTCAAATACCTTAGTGAAAAAAAAGTTAGTAAATTCATAAAGCAGGAACGGCCTTTTGTATAACCGTGCTGATATTCATTAATCAAGTTATGTTTTTCAAGGTGGCTTCAAAGAGCTTTGGCAATTATTGATTCCATCAATTTTCTCACAATGGAGGTTAGGCTCATTGGTCTATAGTTCAAAGTGAAGGACTTCATGTTCGACTGAACATCTACAGAAATTCTATGCAAACTAAAGGACCAAAGATATGGAATAACTTAAGAGGCAAGAGTGAAACAATTTTGCTTAATTTAAAACTAAGGTAAAACAAGATAATTTTGTTACTTAAATCATTATATATGGTTATTAAATTACATGTCAACTAATATAAAAGACTGTATCTGAAAACAAATTAGATTTGGCTGGACTTTAACTCCAAGTCAAAAGTCAAAGTCAAAGCTTTATTTCACATGATAATGTTTGCACAGAGATATGTGACATTTGGTCGTGCATGCAGGAAGACCATACTCTATGCTGAGTATTTCGAGCAAGGTTAAGTCTAACTTAAGACTACAATGGCAATAATTATTATTTGCCTATATATAAGGACATTCCATTATTTATACTATCAATTGATATTACCTACTAAAATTAATAATTATCATTCTTACTATAATTTCAATTTACTCTTAACTTTTTGACATTTAATAACCATTACTTGTCTAATTACCTTTACCTGTTTTATACCACATTTACTATCTTAGAGTACTCTTAATTACCTTGTACTGCCATATAACCTCTAGAATAACTACCAGTGCAATATTGAATGAAATAAACATTACTTTTTCACTTTTTTGTAATCATTATTACTTACTAAAATTTTATTAAACACCATATTTACTACTAGTCAATTTTACTTTTGTACATTAAACATTATTTTATACTTCCCATAACATTTTGTTGCCAAATTTTCAAGTTTGTATATTCAACTCCAACCTTTATATTATCCTTTGTACCTGTCTACCATCTTACTATCATATTATAACCAAGACATTACCATTATTCATTGTTCTTACCTGTCCATTTAATTTTGTTTACCACTACTTGTTTTTTTAGTCACTTTTTTATTGTGTGTGCAATTAGTGTATATTCCAATTACTTTTTTGCAAGTACCAAAACTATCTTTTGCTAGCTAGTACCAACAACCTCATTTTTTATTTTACTTTTTATTGTGCAATAAACTGCTCAACTTATTTAATATTACAAATCAGATCTTACTCCTAAACCAATATTATCTCATAGTGACTATCTATCCATTTAACTTGTTTACCATTACTTAATTGTAGTCCCTTATATATTTTTTTGTCCTTTATTTTAGCTTTATATAACTACCTTAGATCATATATTCGCAATTGTTAGGCTAATCAAGGTGCTATTCTCAGGTGCTAAAGTTAATAAGTTCACTATTTTGCCATTATACTCCAAAGCTCATTTATTTGATTACCACTTTATTGTTCACCACAATATATTAGTCCCTTTTATATTATAATTTTATATTATAATTCTAACTTTAAAGAATTACCTTTAAAGTACTACCTACAATCATATTCCCAAGCTCCATTATTTGATCATCACTTTATTTGTTCACCACAAATTATTTTAGTCCCTTTTATATTGTCTCCTTTTTTTAGCTTTAAAAAACAAACCTTAGCTCATTATTTTTTACATTTGTTAAATAATTCAGGTGCTATTTTTTTTTAGCTTCAGAATATTTACTTTATTTTTTACTTAATTCTAACTATAGATTCACTACAAATCTTATGATTACAAGCATAGATCCTGATACCAACCTCTTATTTAATGACTTAAATGATTCAAACATTTTACTGTAATTACTACACAGCAGAACAATCAAAGGCACTTCTCAGAGCCAAAAAACAACAAAACTATCTTTAACTACAATATCAGATCTTTAAGCAAGCATTATGATGACCTCCTAGCATTACTAAATTCCTTGCATGCCAAATAGTCCATCATTACACTAACTGAAACCTGGCTAAAGCCTGATACTACAGATGTCTTTGCCATTCCTGGTTACACAGCCATACACAACTGTAGGCCAGACCAACAAGGGGGTGGCACAGCTATATACTACTCAACCAACTAGAATGTATCACTAATACTTGCACAAGGGATGAACAATGGGAATATATAATAGCTAAATTCAAATCCAAATACCTACAAAAACCTCTCACAGTGATAAACATCTACAGAATTCCAAAATCAAACATTAGCCAATTTAGTCAAAACCTAGGAAGTATGATAACTGATGCACGCATGAACAAAGATCACTTACTACTCTCAGGTGACTTCAATATAAATCTCCTGCAAGACCAGGACCCACATGTTACTGAATTCACAAACACAATGAGTAACTGCATGTTGCTACCAACAGTAACAAAACCTACAAGAGTTACAGAGACTAGTGTTTCCCTACTTGACCACATCTGGACCAACACCATATCCCCTTTAAAATCAGGCATAATTACAGATAATACCATAGACCACTACCCTACTTTCCTCATAACAACTCTTGGTAAAATACCCCAAGACACTACTAAAGTCACCTTCAGACTTCAAAATGAGGCAGCCATTAATAACTTCACAACAGCAGTAACAAACATTGACTGGCACACTGAGCTAGAAATCTATACAGATATTGACGAATGTTTTAATAATTTTCTAAAAAAGACCCAATACCTTTATAACAAGCACTGCCCTAAAAAAACTAAACAGATGACAGCTAAGAGACTGAACAGTCCCTGGCTAACACCCAGCATTCTCAAATCCATAATACAAAACACCGATATGAAAAACAGTACAGAATGGGTCACATAACCAGAGACCAAACAAAACGTTACTCGTCATTCCTAACCAGCCTGATAAGAAGGGCAAAAAAATTGTATTATGAGAACAGATTATCCAACTTACGAGGTGATATAAAAAAGACCTGGAAGACCCTATCATAAATTCTGGGAACAAAAAAGATATCACGACATAGCGAAATAAAATTAGCAAAATCAGATAACCCCAACTCCCACCAACAGAAAAAGCAAACAGACTCAATGATTTCTTCTCCACTATAGGTCAAAACCTTGCCAATAATATCCCAAGCTCAGATACCCCACCAAATGACTACCTCACTGGCAACTACCCGAACACACTGTTCCTAGCTCCGACTAAACCCCTACGAAGTCTCCCTTATTAAACAACGCACTGAAAAACAAGGCAGGAGATTTAAATATCTTACCACCCTTTATATACAAAAAAGCGTCACAAGTACTATCACCAATCATTGCAACACTCTTTAACAAATCCATTGAATCCTCCACCTTCCCTACAGTTCTCAAAATAGCAAGGGTCACCCCGATCCATAAAGGAGGAGACCAAACAGAGTTGAATAACTATAGGCCAATATCCAATTTACACCCTCTCTCAAAAATCTTCGAAAAATTAATTCATAAATGAATCTACTCCTACCTCATCTCCCATAACATTCTCAACCCCTGCCAATTTGGATTCAGGCCTAATAAAAATACTAATGATGCTATTATACACATGCTAGAACATATATACACTGCAATAGAGAAAAAAGAAGTCCCACTGGGATCTTCATTGACTTACGTAAAGCTTTTGATACAGTTGACCATGACTTGCTCCACGTAAAATTGTCACACTATGGTATTAGAGGGCACTCCCTCAACTACCTCAAGTCATACCTCAGCAACAGAAGCCAGTATGTGTACGCAAATGGGGCAAGCTCTTCCGCACAACCAATTACAGTTGGTGTCCCACAGGGAAGTGTCCTTGGCCCTCTTCTCTTTCTCCTATACATAAATGACCTACCAAATGCTTCGCAATTACTCAAACCCACACTTTTTGCAGATGACACCACATACGTCTTCTCTCACCCGAGCCCAGTCACGCTAGCCAATACTGTAAACACCAAATTGCAGAAAATATCTACCTGGATGAGGACTAACAAACTTACACTAAACATTGACAAAACCTACTTCATTCAGTTTGGTAACAGAACTACAGATGTACCTCTTAACATAACGATAAACGAATCACCTATCACAAAGCTAACAGAGGGAAAATTCTTAGGAATCCACCTCGATTATAGACTCAAATTTCATACACATATACAACAAATTTCTAAGAAAATTTCCAAGACTGTAGACATACTATCGAAGATACGGTACTATGTTCCACAGTCAGCCCTCCTGGCCCTTTATCACTCTCTTATTTACCCCTATCTCACCTATGGAATTTGTGCATGGGGCTCAACAACAACTAACCATCTCAGACCACTAATTACCCAACAAAAGGCTGCAGTTAGAATGATAACAAATTCCCACTACAGGCAGCACACTCCACCAATATTCAAAACACTCAACCTACTCACCATACAAAACATCCATACTTATTATTGCACTTATTACATACATAGAACACTTAACTCTGATATTAACCCTCCCCTCAAACATCTTGCCAACCTCAACAGAACACATGACCATAATACAAGGCACAGATCACTCTGATTTTCCTCGTGTCCATCTCACGCTACGCAAAAACTCAATGCACATAAAAGGCCCTAAAATCTGGAATTCATTACCTGTAAATATAAAAGAAACACTACCTGTTTATAAATTCAAGTCTCTTCTCAAAGTTCACTTACTCACTCAAAACCAAATAAATACTGAATAATTGAACCATATAAATTGTATATCCTAAATGTTACTCACAATTATATCACACAAATGTTAAACCTAACTTTGTTATTTTTTTTTTTTAAATACACTACCTGAATGAACAGCAATGCATGCAACCATATGACCTGTCTTTGTAATACTCATTTGTATTTTATAGTTATCTGTTTACAATAATGTCTTATCACTGATTTCATCATTGCTTAGTTAATCTTAAGTTAATTTTAAGCCAGCCCGTAATGCTATGCATATAAGTGGCTTTGGCATGCTGCTCTTACCTGTATTTTTTTATACCTCTGTATGTATGCTAAAATTTATAAATAAATAAATAAATAAAATAAAGGTACACAATATACATTTACTGTTATATGTGTATGTTTGTTACCTTCACTGTAATTAATATCACCTAAATGTCTTTGTATACACATAGTTGTAATGATTATTATGTGTATTATGTTTTATTAGTTTTAACTTCATCTTGACTGAGAAGTTCAGCATAACCAAGAGCTTTCTATAGGTACTGTACAATGTTATCCAATGTTGTAAAATATATACTGTATCTTATGTCTATCTGCTCTAGCTCCTGGACCCCACGTCTAGCTCCTGGACCCCACGTCTAGCTCCTGGACCCCACGTCTAGCTCCTGGACCCCACGTCTAGGTCCTACACAATGTCATGTAGATTCTTCTTCATCACAGTCTGTTTTAGTAAAATATACTTTCATACACTTGACAGACACCACTGTACATGTCACTGACTTCTGGGTTATCCTGGGAAATTTACACATATGTTACTATGTTACTATGTAAGAAAATTGTAATCCTCCCTCCCCCCCCCAAAAAAAAAATTGTCTAAATAAAGTTACTTTAGTAACTTAACCTAAGTACTGTAAGGAACAATAACAGTAAACATACATTTATAACAAGTAGCAACGAAACTTCATTATCAGGATGATTTATTTGTTCCTTGTTGCTGTGTATTGTCAGAAAATTAATTAATTAAGAAGCACCTCTGTTACTCTGTCTTTTAATAATATGTTATTTTTCCCCTATAATCTACCTTGTCCATAATTACTATCACATTTAATATGTCTACTTTCATAAGTTAAGTCCAGGATCTTTCCTTAATTCATGTTATATTATTATTATAATGAAAATGAAGCGCTAAGCCACAAGGGCTATACAGTGACTCATGTTATAACTTAATAAATGTTTGAGGACAATTATAACGTAGAGATCTTGTTTAAATATTTCTTAATTTGTACCACAAATTAAGGGAAGATGATAGACTTACCTTATGACAGCAGACAAATGCAATATTATGGACAAGGTAGATTATAGTGGTAAATGTAAACCTGATATTAGGAGAGGTAAACTGAGGCGCCTCTTATGTGCAGAATATTATGTGCACACAACAACAGTTGACTGAGTCAAGATACACTTTATGTGAAGTTTGTTATAATGATGATGAAGGTAGTCAGTCCCAGGGTACTATTATCACCAGTGTTGCCACAACACTCTCCACACCTCACATGACTATTATCACCAGTGTTGCCACAACACTCTCCACACCTCACATGACTATTATCACCAGTGTTGCCACAACACTCTCCACACCTCACATGACTATTATCACCAGTGTTGCCACAACACTCTCCACACCTCACATGACTATTATCACCAGTGTTGCCTAAAACGACTCTCCACACCTCACATGCTCTTTCCATGTGCAAACACTCTCCACACTCACATACATATGCAACCAGTGTTGGCCAACATCTCCACAGCCCACTGACTATTACCACCAGTGTTGCCACAACACTCTCCACACCTCCAGTGAATTCTGTATCAGATGTTGGGCACAGATAGTCTCCGACACCTACATGACATTAATCACCAGTGTTGCACATACCTGACACAACCTCACATGACTATTATCCAGGTGTTGCCACAACACTCTCCTACACCTCACATGCGATTACACCGAGGTTGCCACAACACTCTCCACACCTCACATGGACTATTATCACCAGTGTTGCCACAACACTCCTCACACGCACAGCTAATTATCACAGTGTTGCACAACTTCCACACGCACATGACTATATCACAGTGTTGTCTCAGATCCCTGCCACACGTCACATGACTATATACCATGTTGCCTGAACACTTCTCCACACTCACAGTGCTATCTGAACCAGTATGTGCACAACACTGCTCCAGCCTACAGACATATCACCATGTTGCCAAACACTCTCCACACTGTCACTGACTATGTACACAGTGTGCCCAACACTCCCACACGGTCACATGGACTATTGACACAGTAATTGCCATAACACTTCCGACACCTCACATGACTATACACCATGTTGCACAACACTCTCCACACCTCACATGAGCTATGTTCCAACAGTGTTGCCACAACACTCTCCACACCTCACATGACTATTATCACCATGTGCCCAAGCTACTCTCCACACCTCCATGACATAATATCACCAGTGTTGCCACAAGCTTCCACACTGCACATGACTATTATCACGAGTGTTGCGCACAACACTCTCCACAGCCTCACATGGACTATAGCACCAGTGTTGCCACAACACTCTCCACACCTCACATGACATATCACCAGTTTGTCACAAAAACTCTCCACACCTCACATGACTATTATCACCAGTGTTGCCACAACACTCTCCACACCTCACATGACTATTATCACCAGTGTTGCCACAACACTCTCCACACCTCACATAACTATTATCACAAGGGTATTAAAAGAGGATAACATCAAAGCTGCTTTCATAGAAAACCTGGAAGCTTTCTACAACAGATGGGAACATAAAAAGTCTGGGCTGAATGGTACTGCCCTTGATACTGGCCAAGTAGTCAGAAACTGTAAGGCTGGAGGTGATGTCCTGGTAGTCAGTAAATGTGGGGCTGATAGTGCTGTCCTGGGAGACAGTAATGGTGAAGCTGGAGGTGCTGTCCTGGGAGACAGTAATGGTGAAGCTGGAGGTGCTGTCCTGGGAGACAGTAATGGGAAGCTGGGGTGCCCGTCCTGGGAGACAGTAATGGTGAAGCTGGAGGTGCTGTCCTGGGAGACAGTAATGGTGAAGCTGGAGGTGCTGTCCTGGGAGACAGTAATGGTGAAGCGGAGTGCTGTCCTGGAGACAGTAATGGTGAAGCTGGAGGTGCTGTCCTGGGAGACAGTAAAAAGGGGAAGCTGGAGGTGCTGTCCTGGGGAGACAGTAATAGTGAAGCTGGAGGTGCTGTCCTGGGAGACAGAATGGTGAAGCTGGAGGTCCTGTCCTGGGAGACAGTAATGGGAAGCTAGAGGTGCTGTCCTGGGAGACAGTAATGGTGAAGTTGGAGGTGCTGTCCTGGAGACAGTAATGGTGGGGCTGGAGGTGCTGTCCTGGGGGGACAGTAATGGTGAAGCTGGAGGTGCGTCCTGGGAGACAGTAATGGTGAAGCTGGAGTGCTGTCCGGGAGACAGTAATGGGGAAGTGGAGATGCTGTCCTGGGAGACAGTAATGGTGAAGCTGGAGGTGCTGTCCTGGGAGACAGTAATGTTAAGCTGGAGGTGCTGTCCTGGAGACATAATGGTGAAGCTGGAGGTGCTGTCCTGGGAGACAGTAATGGTGAAGCTGGAGGTGCGTCCTGGGAGACAGTAATGGTGAAGTTGGAGATGCTGTCCTGGGAGACAGTAATGTGAAGCTGGAGGTGCTGTCCTGGGAGACAGTAATGGTGAAGCTGGAGGTGCTGTCCTGGGAGACAGTAATGGTGAAGCTGGAGGTGCTGTCCTGGGAGACAGTAATGGTGTAGCTGGAGATTTTGTCCAGGTAGTCGGGAATTATACGCAGGAAGGAATACATATAAATGACCTCATAGGGGACAGGAGCCGTAGTGGGGAAACAAGTGTAGTCAAAGATAAGATAAAACCAATATTGCAAACTAGAAATACCACAGGAAATAGCAAACAAGAGGACTCCACTAGCAATAGTGAGGATATATTACCAAAAACAACTGGTGGGAGCTCCATTGTTGGTGCTAGGGAGGATAGGAATAAGACAGGGAAACATGCACCAACAGGGAATACAGTCACAGAAACCCAAGGCAAACGGAAACCAAGCCTGTGCACATACTATGCACTTGGTATCTGCTGGCATGGGAAATCTGGAAAAACAGATGGGACGTG